CTGAGCCTTGGGCTTTAATTAACACTTTGAGTGTGCGGCATTTGTTCTCTAATTAGATGGTAAGATGCTATTTTATAAATTCTGTCTGTAGTCAGAATTCAAAAAGATATAATGATCTCAAACCAGTAAAGTTGTTAATATCCTCCTTTGCATTTATCAGTGAGAAAGAGACTTTAACAGTTCTTTTTCTAGTAGCTTGAGAAAATGTTAAACAGAAAATGATAAAACAACCCAATGACGGGGCCCTCTGAATGCCTGAGCTTTACAGCTCTCCCGGCACAGACTGTGAATCAGGTGCTGAACACATCATCTAGAGAAACGTCATCGAACAGGATGCTATAGCTTTGCAACTGCTGGTGGGGGGAAAGTGAGAAGGGGCTGGGGGAGGGAAGACAGGTATTGGAAAGGAAGGCAGTCCTGAAACTGGCCCCAGTCAGGCAAGTAAGACTATGGTGGAGATGAAGTGGGACATTTTGTAACACATCTTCAAGTACGTCTCATCTTACAATTTTGATATCCAGATGTACTAGGCACGTACAGCAATGTGATGCAATGACACCAGGAGATGGAGGGTGGGAGGAATATTGACCTGGAAATTATGAATGAATCCATCCAAAGACATTTGAAAGGCATATTTATGCAAATTCTAGTTTGTATTTGTCCTGCCCCAAGAAGAAAGGAAGCAGATGGAGGCATGTTTCATCTAATTTACTGCCTGCTTTTTCACACACAACCTCCACCCCCTAAGGAAGAAGATCTTTCTGTAGATGTTGTATAAGGAAAACCTGTAGGTGGGTTCCTCACTCTCTGCCAAACATCTGGCAGCCTTTGAAAACCCTCAACTCAACATCAGCTTTGCCAACAGCTTCCTCTGGAGACAAATAACTCCTCACCATCACACTAGAAGAGGAGCAGCCTTTCACAGGTCAGGCTGGAGGAGAAGAAAAGGACATATGGCTTCATGTACCAGATCCTTCAGAATTGGGGACACAAATAATCTTGTCTCCAGCATCTGGAGTCCATTGACATTACCAAGATTTTCTTTCAACAAGTATGATCATTCCCGATTCCCTGTTCTGTTCGTAGCCCAGCTCCCCAAAACAGGTACATGAATAATTGACTCAACTGCGTTGGAAGTCTATGAGCCCAAATGTTCTTCTTGGTTGCACCAGAAACTGTGACTGTGGAAATGCAGAGTAACTACACCACTGCCTCAGCAAGCCGAGAAGCATGGCTGCTGACATTGGCGGCTTTAGGCACTGCCTGGCCCACGGCTTGAACAACCAACTAAACGGCAATCCTTTCTAAGGCCAGGGAGACGTTTTCTGGGCAACTTAGCTCTTTTGCAGAAACTGGTGTTCCAGACTGTGCAGTTGTTAGGGACAGCATTTTGAGGGGTGATGATCTCCGCTCTTTTTTCTGTCAGTTGTTTGATTAGTCATGCCAGGCAGCTGCCCCCATGAAATGTGAAAAGGCACCATTATATAACAACTTGCACGAGCAAACTAGCTGGTAAGGAGAAGCAGCGACCAGTACTGCATCCTCAATATTGTTTTTACACTGGTAAATCATCAGCTTCACTAGAGCTGCTCATGATTTGCTTAAGGACATAAAAAGCTTATTTTTTCAAGAGAAGCACATCAGATTTCTGTTGTATTTTTTTACATTCAAGATGTTTCACTTTAAATATATTTATCACATCAAATTAAACAAAAAAAAAAGGCTTCCAGAAAAGTTTACCATTGACTAAATTTACAGTTTTCCCATACAGACATTTTAGAGACCTTTTAGGTAAAACGGAAAGAAACGTCAATGAGATGTGGGTCTGTAGGAGGAAACATTAGCTGTCAGTTGCCCCAAAATAAAAAGTCTGCTACATCTTCAACAGTAAACAAGTTTTTTACTTTTGAACCGAATGGAAACATTTTTGCAAAGATTTTCATTTCAGCTTTTTGAAAGACACAAACATGAGCTTTTCAAGGACACCATAAAAACACTTTGAACAAGGGCTTAAAGTACCCGTTTTGAGTGAATTGTTTAAAACAATGAATAAATAAATTCCATTGTTGAAAACAATTGAATAAAACTATGAATTCACAGCCAATTAACTGAAACATATTCCTCTTAAATGAAATTTCCTGTGTACACAATCCAGTCATACCTCTTGGACAAGATATACACTCAGTAATTAATCACAACATTACTCAGTCTTTTTGGTGTTTACCACCTTCCTTCAGGCAATAAACTCCAGAGCTAGTGAGATAAGCATCAGACAGGAGCAGAAGAACAGAGAACAGGCAGGAGCCTGCAGAGGAACTGAATGCATTTCCCTAAGGTGTTCCACTACCTTTACGTTGATAGTTGAAAAAACAACCCAGAAAGATTCTGTTTAAATCCACGAAGAAAACAAATATTCTCTGCTGTGTTGACACCTGCCTCAGATTTAACAGTGTACACAAAATATTTTCTCTGCATGCATTCAGATGGGAAGAGAGAACACAGGGGATTAATTTTTCCGTGTATTGTATGAGGGCTTAGATACGCAATTCACCCTGACTTCAGATCAAATATACCGAGGAGCGCTTGCTCCTCTATAATGTTTACTGGCAGGCCCTGACTGCATTTAAGGCTTGTGCTATAGCTAAGCTAGCGCTCAGGAGCAGCTTCTGCTACTGTTTACCCTCACATAAATCCCAGATCACTCTGAGGTCAACTGAGTAGAATTTAGGACCTTTTTTCAGTAATCAGGCCTTTCAGTAGGCTATAATGGGCCTGCCTCCCCCCTCATGCTGCTGCAAGACACGCAATACTTAAGTCGTTGTATGACTTAGTGTGAAGAGCTGATGGAAGCTCTTTCCCCACCTCAAACAGATGCAACTGATGGAGAGGAGATGCAAATCCAGCCTACCACTGCTGAGATCGATACAGGAACCTCAGCGTAAGAGGAGCCTGAAGTCGGAGGTCACAGTTCTAACTTCAGGCTCTTGCAAGGAACAGCGTGTAACATCCTGTTGTTGCTCATACTCGGATAAATGTTGAATGAAACAAGTGTGGCGTTTTTGTAATTGCAGGTAGAGCCATTCTTTGATGAGCGATTTGCTTAAACCGAATTCCCTATTTTGAACGCACTCCTTCCTTGAGGAGTACGAGGGTGTGCATCCAGACTCCAGTTTTGCAACAGAGGTCCATCTCTAGACATTTGCAAAGCATAAAAGCAGTTTTAGAACTGACGGTATTGCATGCAAACAATGCAAACCGGAGAGACTATCCCGCTGTTCAGCGGACTTTCTAACCTAGTCTGCCACTGAGCTAACACTGAACCTCGTATGCTTCCTCACCACATGCTGGCAATGCAGTAGTGTAGCTTTGGGGTTCAGAGCCCACCATCAATTGTACCTGGTGTTTGTAATCCTGGGGCAGGGACAGATAAAGCCTGGCTGGAAAGTAGGCAAAATTGCACCTGAGATGGGGCCAGGCTGCAGTACCGGAGCTGCTGGTGCTGTGCAGTCTGGGTTCTGACCTTCGTTTCAAAGCCTTATCATTGCATAAACCAGCTGCGCTCTGGCAGTTTCAGGGTGTAGCTTGCCTTAAGCTAATAGAGGCTTTCAGATAACATTGCTTAAGAACTTCAGTCAACACTGTATCAGGGTGGATAAATAGAATTAAGAATAAATTTTCTTAATTCAAAATGCAATCAGTTGATCTGCAAAGTAAAGCAAATTACACTTCTTGCCTGGGGAACTGCAGCTTCCCTAAAGGCAGGGAACTTTGACCAAAAGGAAATTTTTATACTAGTCAAGTGTGAACGGCATTTCACAGAAGTCTGTGAAGCTTTCTCCAGCAAGCATTTTCCAGCTATTCCCATTAAAAAACATGCTGCTAGTCCAACTTCAATAAATACATTTGCACATACACTGCTGATTCTGGAACAGTGTCAGTAGGAACAATGTTAGATTTATTTTGGGTCCCAACCTCTAATTCTATATGGTTACCTTTCAGCAGTATAAAAAAATGACTGAATATGCTGGAACTGTTCACTTTGCCTAGACAATTGGAGTTTGTGCATGTAGGCACTGGGGAACATACTGCCTAGCCCAAATACCATCACTTTTACACAACACTATCATTAACATCTGAGAAAAATAATTAACATTCCATAGTTTTCCACATTAGTTTTCTTCTTTCAGATCTTGGTTTGACAGCAGCAAAACTTTTTTTTACTGTTTAGTAAAAGGGGAACTTCTTGATCCCAAATAGATGTCCTTCCAAGCACTGAGGCCAGCAAGTATTCTCGACTTCCACCTGTAGTATAAACTTAAAAGACCAAGATAGTCCATGACACTGTCTCTGACCCTGATGATGCAAACAAGGAGAACAGCATGGTTGCTCTAACTGCATGTGTGATGATTACGCTGGTGTTCTCATACTGCATTTTTATTGCTTCCGAATTTACTGCCAACAGATCAGGTGCTTTGTTTGCTTAGACCTATATCTTGTGGGTTCATTTCAGTTCTCTGTCTGCTACCTCGTGTATTTGGAAAGCTCTGCAGCCATCCACTTTGTGCAATGACAGGTCCGTTCTTGTCTCAGTCTTCTACTGAGCCACTTATTAATAATATCACAAATTACCAGTGCTTCAATTAATACCACTATTCATTGTGATGACTTTGCATTTTTTCACAGAATTGTGATATGATGGTCAATGGTCTCACCTTTGTTTTCACAAATGATGTCTGTGACTGGATTATCCACAAAGAACTAGCTACTGTCCATTTACACAATTAAAAATCCCATTTTTGAAAAGCTTGTCTTCTAAGAACCACTAGAAATATATATTCAAATGTACCATGTTTTAATTTCTGCTTTCTCAGGGGAGGGGGCAAGAAAGGGGGTGACTTGCTTTGCTTAATCAGAAATCAAGTATATTCCAATTATGAATACTAAACAAAGCAGCAGTAAGAGCTCCTGGTATTAAACTAACAATTGATTCTTTGTCACAGATCTTTTATTATTCAGAAGGCCAGTCTTACTCCTATGGAGAGTTTAAGAACAGGATAACAGCTGCAACAGGTCCAGGGAATGCATCAATAACAATCTCCAACATGCAGCCCTCAGACACTGGTTCCTACACCTGTGAAGTTTTCAGCCCACAGGGTGATGCTGGACAGAGTCAGAAATCTGTGATTGTCAGCGTGCTGGGTAAGCACCTTTCCTCTCTATTGCTCTGTTGTAGTTTTCCTCCCTTATCATGAAACACTGAATTCGCGGCTCAAAATACTTGAGTTTTTGGACCAGAGGGAAGAACACAACTGTGATAAACAAGGCCGATGATGCAGAGAAATGGCTCACTGATGTACTGAGGCAGATTTTTTTCCAAGGGCTTTGGAGGCAGGCAGAGCCTGGGCTGCCCTCTAGCTTCCAGACAAAGCAGACCTGATACCACTCCGCAGGTACCCTTGCTTGGCCTCTTTCTCCCACGAGTGGCCTTCACATTCACCTTGTGCCCTCAAAAAGCTACCCAATGTAAGCAGGTGGCTGGAATTTCCCAACTTCACTATATTTTTCATGTTGGAAAACAAAGTGATACTAACTTTGATTAAAAAAAAAAGCCCTTTTAGCTGGGGGTGACGACTCTCTGAAGCCGTTACATCCAGCCCCAGCAAAGACCAAAATTTTACTAGTTTTACCTAATGTTGGTCATGGTGACTTGCGTAAATCTGGGGAGAGGCAGCAGTACAGCCCAAGGATTCTGGCTCACCCCAATTCCCAGAAACTCGAGAAACTTAGTATGTGTTGGATGAAAGTAGTACAAAGTCTGTTTTGGATGGAAGAAAGCAACACTTCAACCACGAACAGGCAGGACAGAAAGGATGAAAAGCAGTGGAATGAGGTATTTTACTTCCTAATAAGATAAAAGTTTGTACTAACCCCACCTAATCATTGCTTTTATATTAAGAATTGCTAACTGGTCAGAGTGACAAATCAAAGTCATATGAGAACGTGATTCCAGCACCACTTGCCTATCTGCCAGGGATAAGAAAAAGACATATGTAAACTCAGTCCCTGAAAAATCAAAGCACTACTGTTATTTCTCATCTAAAATTCCCCAAACAAACAGTAAATCTTGGAGAAGTTGAGTAAGAGATTGTACTTTTCACATGAAAACCATGAAAGGTTGTTCATTTATGCACACAAAATTGAGCTGTGTTCATTGCTGCTCTAGTTCCACTGGCGGTACTCTAGAGAACCCCAACAGCGTATCTACAGGTAGGAAATGAAAAATACTAGGTGTAAATGAAGACAGAATCGTCTCCTGTGTGCGAAGTGAGGAAATGCTATCAAAACAGATACATTTTTTAACAGAACAGAAAGTTAATTTATTCCCACCACAACTGCAATATACTGAAGAATTAGGCCTTGACCCTCTCCCTTTATGTGGAAAAGTTCCTGCTATGTCTCTAAAGAAAATGATGCTGCTATGTGGCAGAATGCTGTAGGATGAATAGTGATTGGTCCATTATAATTAAAGTAATAGTCTTCATCTCAACACCTCCATAATAATATTTAGCATGCAAATGGAAGAAAATATAATAAAAATGTATCCTGGGCCATGTACATATATTTAATATTACTCAAACCTTTACGGGAGAGACATAGGTCAGAGCCATAAAAAAGACTCTGCTCTTGGATGGCAATCTGTAGATGGGGTTCAATTCTTTACCTACAGCAGCACAGTACCAGAACTCGGGGTGGATGGTTGCTGCCCCAGGTGTGTACTCATGATGTGTCTGTTCTCCTCATTGCTGTTTTACAGTCAAACCGTCACAACCTTTCTGCAAAATAGAAGGAACGCCTGAAAAAGGCCATCTAATCTACCTCTTATGCAAATGTGAAGAAGGATTGCCTCACCCTACCTACCACTGGTACAAAGTGGATGAGAATACACTCAAGCCTGTGACTGAACATCTTAGTACGTAATTACAGGACTACCATCCGGAGTTCAAGATCTGGAATTCCATAGTACCAGCCATTTCAAACACTGTGTATCACATAGGGTAGTTAAAACTTATCCTCCCCTTCTGACAGTCAATGTCACAAAATCGTATTTTTACTTATTTTTACTTATTCAAATCGACTGATAGCTGTCACAAACACAGGACTTTTTTCTTTTGTTTTAATAAAAATGATATAGCGTGTTAAAGTTTTGCCTATGCCATTACTTTAAATTGTTAAAAAGGGGAGAAATGTTTATGCTTTTACATCTCCCTTCCCTTGGAATTTTGAGTGAACTTAGAATAAGTCAATTTGTGATTCAGGTGCTGAGACCTCCATCCAAATCTTCAGTAGCTGTTACATTTTCATTTGTGAGGTTACATTGACAGTAGTATCAATGCGGGTAGAACATCAGGACAGACTGATTTGCAGAGCAGGGGTCTACTTCTCATGTTCTAATATACTCCTGCAGAATCTATTGTAGTAATTTTCAAGGAAGGTAAATGTTTTTCATTTAAAGAATATTAAAAAAAATGAATGAATAATTGGAGAATTGTTTCTAATCTCTTAATAGCTCTCAGCATTACCAACTAAAGAAAATGGTTTGCCTCTGCAGTATACAAAGGGTAATCTGTACCTGCTCTCTGTTTGTCACAGATCCAAGCACTGGCATTCTTTACATTGGCAATCTCACCACCTTTGAAACTGGGTATTACCGGTGCGTAGCCACCAATATCCTGGGCAACAGTACCTGTGAGCTTGACCTAACTGCAAAACGTAAGTTTAATGCATGAAAGTAATCACCTATTTGATATATGATATGCACAGTTTGCAGGAAAATGCGGTAACAACTCTAAAGCATAGATTTTTTTTCAAGTGAGAACAGAATGGGATTTGGAGGGCTCCGGAGTTTTCATCCAGGCATGCCCAGAATTTACACTGACCTAGACAACAGATTTAACATTTCCAGCTTCATTTCCCACTGGGAGCTCTGACTGCAGAGCCTTTACTGAGAACTGACAGATATGGAGTTTAGAGCTATTTTGTTCAGCCAACTGTCCCACTGAGGTCCTCCTGCCCCAGAATTTACAACCATCACTAAAATGTGGTAGTACAAGGACTGGGACACTGTAGATGTGACCACTAGCTAAAAATACTGCAGTCATGGAAAAATACCTTATCCTGCCTGCCCTCATGCAGTGATCAACCTTATCCTGACTGTTCTCAAGCAGTGGTCAACCCCATCTGCATGCAGATTTTTCATGTAACCAGTAACACTTAACAAGAGCCAAGCATATGTTGTACAACCAGCCAAGAGATGTCCCTGAAATGGTCACTCAATTACTCAGTGGTCTGTAAAACGAAAATCGCAGGTCAGCGCTAGAAGCTGTACTGCAGTGGAAACAGAAGGTTTGGGGGGCTCACAAATGATCTGAGCATACATTTTACATCTCAGCTGAAAGATAGAGATAAAGGCAACACCTGAATTTCAGAATTTGTCCGCAAGAGCAAAGGCTTTCAACTATTGCCAGTGTTAACAGCCTAACATTTCCCTTAGCCAGGCATAAACACAGGGTTTGTTTGGGTAGGGAGCTAACCAACAAGAAAGGAGGCAGCAAAAGTCATAAAAGCAGAGTTCTCTCTTTCCTAGACAACCTTTGGCCGCCTCCCTCCCGGAAATACAGCTGTCAGTCAGGTTTTTTTGTTCTTTGAATCCAATGCCTTCTTTCTGCTAAAAGCTCCTCCACTAAATTTCCATGGGATTTTGCTATAATAATACTTCGAAAAAGTCAAGTAATCTTTTTTTTTTCTTTTCAGATTCAGACAGTGGTATTGTTGCTGGAGCATTAGTTGGAGCAATTCTGGCAGCTGCTGTCATTTGCATTATAGTCTGGGTCTTAAACAAGAAGGCAAAGAAGAAGAAGTCGTCAAGTAATGAGATGCAGTAAGAATTTCTGTTTGCTTCATTTTAAAACAATTCTTTCTGTTAAGCACTGCTGATAACCCAGAACTGAAGTAAAATGTAATTACTTTAAATATTTTTTTAAGGGTAAATAATACAGGTTTTGAGAAAACTTCCAGAGTGACAGTATTTGCTTTTGTGTGACTTTTAAGCTGTTGCTCTTGTAACAGAAATTGCCATTACCCTCTTCCCTATGTTTACAGGCAGCTATCTAAAACAGTAAAGTAAACTTTTTTTAAAAACACAAACTGAAAGTGGCAAGTTGGAAAAACAGTTTGTGACATTCAAAAGTTAATGGTAACTGTTAATGGCAGATGGAGGAAATAAAAAAAGAAGTAGCAGCTAAGGGTTGCCTCAGCAAATTTACTGGGATTGTACGTTACTGGATTTAAACATAGAGAAATCAGTTCAGTGCTATTTGAAATTACAGAACACACGCTTGGGATACTCTAAGTCATCTCAAATGGCAGGAGACATAAGGTTTAGGCAACAGAATGGAGTCCAGAATGTCCATTTTGATCCTGCTCTGGAAATGTCTTTTCCTCTGTGCTTTGGTTGCTCATTTTTTCCCTTAAATTGCCAAATCTTCAGAATAGGGATAATCTCATATGCTATATGGACTGGACTTTGCCCCATGATGTTAAATGCTAAATGAATACATGCAGCTGAGGCCAGAAAAAAGTATTATGTCAACTGGACACTTCCCTATAGCACAGGTCTAAGACTTCCCGATACAGAATTCTGTTAATCCAGACCAGTGGCCAGTCACTCGTGCACCAGATTTCTGCTTTCAATTGATGTAGCATTAACATTTAATTTTGTGCTCGGATCCTAACATATCTTACTACACTGAATTAATCCACTAGCATCTGATATTTTTTACATGTGAACTATCGGGACTTGGTTTATTATTGTTTTGGTAAGATAAATGGAATTCATTTACTAAAAATATTTTTCTAGATTTCAGCCTTTTCATAGCTCTTTTCTGATTGCACTCTATTTTGAATGTACTTTATTGGGACACCAGATCTGCATGGAATTTCTCAGGAAGCTCACACCAAGCAGTGTGTTTTGCTACCCCTCCTCAAACACTTTTTGCTAGCACTCAGTTTCCCATTCTGCTTTCCTGGCCTAGCATTTAAACATACTAAAATCCATTTTATTCTAACGGGATCACTTAAACCAGTGATGCAGATCAGTCTAACGCTCTTGTCACTCTTTCTGTCTTAGCAGCAGTGATGTTGTAGCCTTGGTGCTCTTGGTGCCAGGTGCTCTTGGAACAGTCCTAATAATATGGGGGTTATTGTTTAGACGATAAAACTACAAAGACCGATTCTTTTGAAAGACTGTAGCGTAGATGGGATTTCAACACACGAAATCATAATCATCATCCTGTCTTCCTGCAGAGAAATGGCTCAGAAACCATCCAATGCAGCATATGTGCAGGTACCTAATGAAGAAAACATTCCTGTGACCACAGTTCCATCAAGCAATGCGACAAATGAATACCCTAGTGTTGATGAAACAGCAGCCTCTGGAACACCTGAAAATGATGAGAAGCAAGAAGCGGAAAAAGAAGAAATAGCCTAGAGTTTTCATACAGTTTTCCTTGTCAGCTTTAGACCCCTTTATACAAAAATTGTTGTCATTGCATTAACATAGAATTATGACTAAAACTGAATGGGCATTTGTACTGCGAGCCACAGGGCTGGAGACTGAAAACAGTCTGTTACACATGCCCTTTGTGAATAGCAGAAGATTTGGCCTCTAAAGTTAACCAAATTTAATTTATTATCTAGTTATAATTATACATAAGTATAAAAAGACTATAATCCACATTTATCCAACCTATTTTGCAAAACTAATTAGGAAATGGGCTGAAGCATTTCACAAAGTAAGAGCTTTCCAGTCAACTATCAGTAATGCTGTACCCTGCTGGCCAACCTCATGTTTCCTGTGCACCAAGAACAGTCATCATGGCCAATACATTGCAGTATTTAAAGGATCTGATTTTGTACGTCAGAAGTAAAAAGAAGTTTCATCAATGTCATCAGTGCAGAAACAGGTGTTAAGACCTGAAGCAATGAAATCTTATGTGTCTGAATTGCACTTAAAGCTAAAAAATCCTGGAAACTTTTACCCTGTTGCTGTCTGACGTGGAATACATTTTGTTAATAGTGACCTTCTTGGCTTTAAAGTTCCCAAGGCACCAGCATTCCAGAGTTGTGTGCTTCAGCAGTTCTGGTCTTCAGTTTAATGGATCTAGCATTCAAGTACCCAGTTCAGACATCGATTGACTGGTTTTCAGACAACAGGAGCTGGAAATCTAAATCCCATGCAAGGCTTGTTGTAATAGGCACACAGAGTATCAGATTCCTCATGACATGCAGATACAGCTGCTTTCAAAACTTAGAAGTGAATACTGCCTACTATACAACACACTAGTTTCAATTGCTTCCTCTGCCTGAGACGATTTAAATCTATTTCCAGGCAACTACCCTACCCACTAAGCAACAAACTCATGCTACTTTTCTACTGGTCTCTTTAGCCCAGTGTAACTTTGACTATTTTCTATAGGTGAAAGCATCAAGAGGAAAGGTAAGTAGTGCGTGCACACGAATAGCCAACAGCTGAGTAATGAGCACTCTCTCGGAAGGAGAAAAGGGAATTTAACCATACACATGCTGATCACTAGACACATCTCTGAGCCTCATTTCTAAAGTTAAGCACACAGTTCTTCAAAAGGGCCAAGATACCTACTTTCAGAAGAGCTCAAGGACTGCAGGGCTCGGGTGAATAGAGACACACAGGCTCAGCAGCTCCCTTCTGAGCTACAGGAGGCAGATGATCATTGACACAAGACGACAACTGGATTCAGTCTCATGCACTGCAGGAAAATGTTCTGGCTCAGGGATCTGGAACTTTTTGGCACTTAAGTCTTTTACAGGATCTAATGTTCATAAATCCTTTGCTGACTGTTCCTAGCCTGTAAATGTTAGTTACATGCAACAGTCATCTTTAAAATAGATAAAAGGATACATCCATGCTAAAATTTTCAGATTCAGTTCCTACAGCTCTAAGTATGTTTATGAAGAAAGTGACCACAAAAAAAAAAAAAAAAAAGAAAAAAGAAAAGGCAACATTTAAAGAACATGTAAGGCATGAGGTCCTAATTAAGATTCAATTTGGATTATTATGCATAACTGTATTCATTGCCCTTTCTACCCAGTTTTCTGGCTTTCAAATATTTGTCTTTGATACATGTATCCTAGGGTTTAGCCTCACTGCAGAGTAAAAGAGCATTTACAGTGTTCTGATGTATTGTTTTAGGTAAAAATTGCTTGTGCTGGACTGCGAGGGTCAAACCCTTACTGATACCCACACTGCCATAGTCTACCAGTGGATCCTCACACTCCCCAGAATATCCAGGGTAAACCTTAAGTCATGACCTGTATGGAAGTCTCTCAATTAGGCATCTCTCTTATTGACTCGTGGCAATTTTGCTAAGCAAAATCCATAAACTCGCATCCTTCAATCTAGGTTTAGAAGCTTACTGAAAATTTCCGCTATTCACACCCAAAGCTTTGTGAGCATGCAGAACTACGATATTAAGCACGCTCAGAAACAGCAAGAGAAGAGCAAGTATTGCCTACTCCTGTTTGGGTGCCATTTCCTACCAGAGGTGTTTCCTAATGAGATAATTCAAATCAATTATTGGTCCAGGGGGGACCATGACGTGGCTGACAATGGTACTAATTTTAAATAATTTCTTCTCTGACATTCCTAGGCATTCTTTTACTCTTGCCCTTCATGGGATAATACAAACAACTCTCTTCATGACACTGCTGTAGTTGTGTTAGTTCTTCTAAAGTAATATCCTGTATAAATATGTCATAGTTACTTTTTTCTTACTGCAACAGCTTTCCAACGTTCACATCTCTGCAACAGCACTATCATGATTGAAGAAGGGGGAATATATTATGTGGCCATGATCATAATTCTTTAATCTTTCCTTAATCTCACCTCCACAAATTTCTCTGCATGTATGCCTTATATAACTTGCTACAGTAAGATAGGAACTTGTGCTGGTGAAGTTGTAACTACCTTCTATAGCTAATACAAATTTGCTAAAAAAGCAGAAATTCCTCAAGTTATGTTAACGCTTTTATACAAAAAGAAAGAACAATTGAACACAAGTTCTAGACGAATAATTCTTCTCATACTTCTAACCACCAGTGTGTAATAGATGGTATTAAAAAAAACCCCCAAAGTAAAAATAAGCAGCGAAACAGATTGCTGGGGGTGAAGAGGAAGGTAAGGAAAATAACATTTATTTGGAGTTTCTTAACATATTGAGGTATTTTTGTAAGCCTTCTGGCAGATGTTTGCTCTCATTACGAAGTTTCTCTCATGTAAAATAGTTTATTGAAAAGGATAGGGCACTGTTCCTAGCTTTCCATTGATGCTCTTGGCAAAACACAAGCCAAATTAGGGATTGATCCATGGCGTGTAGCTCAAAAACCCTGCAGAGTTATACACGATGCAGAAACATTTTTCAGAATTTGCCTCAGATGTTCCAACAGTCTTTGCTGCATGGCCCATTTATGTTCTCCTGAGGGAGTAGGGGTCATTAATATGGAAACCAGATATTAGGCCAACATTCAAGCCACCACCTCCTAGGGAAGTGGATTTACAAAGCTCTAGCAGGGTTTTTTTGCTATACAAAGATCAAGGATGAACACTGAATTCTAACTTCAGCTTTTCTCAATTCAAGATTTCAGCAGTGCCTGCACAATACATAAGAAACATTTACTCAGTCAGGTTCCTCCTTCAAGCAAGGTCTGCATGGCCAGAGTTTACTGTACGGCAAGTTATCCCTCCTGCCCTGAATAATTTAACCTGCATTTTGCTTTCTAGGATAGATTTAAAGTACTTGGTGAAGATACTCGTTTGGTTGTAAGTCTCTGTCTTGTTTATCAAAATAAATTGCATTACCTTAATCCCTACAATTCAAACTGTAGAAATTGTCATCTTCCATTTCAACCTTTCCTTGCAGCTGAATAACAGACATGTTCTATTTCCATACTGTGTAACGGATGGCAGGGTTTCATCTGACTTGTTGGTCACATCCCACGTGTACAAGCTATTTGGAAAATAGTTCATTACATGTAAGTTTAATGAAGTTTTATAACACCAAAGACTGCTGTTTAGGAAAGTTCTTTATTTCACAGAATTT